CGAACAATCGAGACTGGAACTATGGAGACTCTACTGTATTTAACTTGACATTTTTAAACAATAAAAGGTTTTGAATAACAATATAATTTATATTGATTATCGAATGGAGCAGATACACCATCAAAAATAGTTGGCAATAATCTTGTTTATATTTTGAATTTATAATTTGTAGGCTAAAACGAAACGGTCTAGCTAGAACAGTGGTTATCAACTGGCGGCCCTCGAAGCCTTTTTTTGTGGCCCGAGAACTAAAATTTATTAGTTGTCGTTTTTTCGCGAACAATTTTCGTAAAATATCTATATAGAATTAAAATACTTTTCTTTCGTTTAAAAAAACCTAATTTCTTCGTTTCTGTGAAATTTAACATACCAATGGTGCAAAAAAAAAAATTATTTCTCATGTTTTGTATCCAAGAAAATATTTATTCAAATGCAAAAATAATCGTGTGTGTTGCTCTTTTTTATTCCGTTTTTTTTTTTTTTTTTTTTTTTTTTTTTTTTTTTTTTTTTTTTTTGTATTTTGTTAATATAATGTTGCATGTGCGTATCAGAAATTTTCTCGAAGCAACTCTCCCATTTAACTTTTTGAAACCACTCATTTTGGACGAAATTAATTACATTTGTAAATTTTAAAACGCATAAAAGATGGAATGAATGTCATGTTTTATTTAAATTCCTTGAATTGAATATCCCATGAGCGGAAGCATTATTTGTAATGCTTGTTATTTTGCTTTTTAATATTAAAAAACTTTGATAAAAATCTGACAGTAATGTTAAATGTTCTTTCAAACATAAAAGAGTCGTATATAAAATTTTGATAAAGTTGCAGCCCACCATTTGACTGGTGTTTTTAATTGCGGCCCCCGGCCTCATGTAAGTTGGAAACCCCTGCTCTAGAGCGTTGCATTAACCCAGTGTTTCCCAAATTTATCTTTTTTGTGTGCCCTTTCTAAATTTTTCGTAACGCTGTGTACCACTAATTAAAAAATTAATGTATTTTTTACTAAGTTAAAAATCACCACTGACTGTAATCACTGGCTGTATGCACCACTAATTATTAACTGTTAACTCAGCAAAAAATAGCCAATAGAAAAGTACGTAATCGTAAATTTTCATGGCTGGCTTTGTTTTTGAATAAAAATTTTTGAAATTTTCTTTTGTTGTAAAATATTTCGCTTAAGAACGCGTACCACCGCTAAACTTTTCCCGTACCCCTGGGGGTACGCGTACCACACTTTGGGAAACACTGCATTAACCCTTTAACGCAGATGGGACACCGGTATCCTTTTTTTTTATATATATATATATATATATTTTTCTGCCGCTCCAATTACAAGTAAAAATATTGTTTGGTATTTTTGCAATTGTGAAACATAGTTACTAAAAAAAATCTGTTAGATTATCGGAATCATATTTGTACCAAAATATAAAATCCGAATAAGTAATTAAAATTTTTTTTAATTAATATTCAAAATTTTATCAATAATTCATTTTGTCAAGTAAAGAAATTTTAATGATGAATAACTTTTAACTGAATAACCGCGAAAATACATCGTTATAAGCTGAGCAATAAATCGAAGTCATAACTTCATTATTTATAGGACCGGATAGCCTGTTTGGTAGGGTGTTGGGCCTGTGTCCAAGAGGTCGTGAGTTCGATCTTTGCCAGCCGAAGACTCCCCGTGTATTATATGGTAACTGGTGCACGCTAAATCTGTCGAGTCACAAAGTCCGCCATGTTACATTAAAACAAATCATACCCCTAGGGGTGCTGAATTGGAGATTGATCGTTCTATGGTTCAGGTCAAAATTTACCATCTGGGAATGTATGAATGGATCCGCCTTATAAACGGATTGTGACGTGTGTGTGGCTTCAAGTCGTATTCTTGGCCATAGATAGCGGCACTGAAAAAAAGCAAGAAGCGCACTTTCTGCCTTAAATACGCTTGGTTTCACCGAGTAGACTTGGTGGATTACCAATTAGCATTAGAAACAACAACAACAACTTTTTTATTCAAAAGCCTTTCTGACAAAATGACAACAAAAGAGAAGATTTCACACCATTCTAAGCAATACATTAAATTTAAAACTATTAAACAAAAGCTATTCATTTTCATACTCAATGTTACAACAATTAATCAGATCCTTAGAAAACAACAACTTCTTTATTTAAAAACCTTTCTGACAAAATGACAGAAAAACGCAAGATTTCACATCATTCTAAATGAAACAAATTAAAACTTAAAACTATGAAACAAAAGCGATTCATTTTCATACTCAACGTTACAACAATTCATCAGCTTCTGTAAAGCTGAAATTTACCTAAAAATTACAAAAAAAAACAAAACGATGTTATTCAATTGCCGCTTTGTAATTATTGTTATACAAACGTCAATTTTGTAGGTCATGGTAAATGCATGGTCTGGATTGAGGCGCATACGATGCCGATGGAAAAGCTAAGGAAAAAAAATATTAAGAGAAGTTGCTGGTTTTGCTTCGTGGGTTTGCAGGGGATCTTCGCGTTGGAACTGTTCCAGATGGAATGTTTTCAATATGTTCTCTATCTTTTTTTTTCTTTCTCTCTTGTTCTAAATAATGTAATTAAAAGAAAAACGATTTTGTTTAAACTCCTATGATGCATTGTTATTTTGAATAAAGAAAATGAATCTATTTCATTATTAAGAATTCTAAGAAAAAATATTTTGTTCTTGAAAAAAAAAATTCGTCCTACTTCAGTCAATCTATACGCTATATCACGCATATGCTATAGGCATACGTAATATTCAGCATATCCACTATATCTAGCATAAAACCCTTATGGACCTTCCCGTACATTACTTAAGCCCCTAACAGTTGAGAGGGGTTTGAGATATGCTTATTTTTGTTGACAAAGGGGTAAGAGAGGTATATGAATAATACTTACGCAAGACATTAAAATTTCAACATTTTCAAATATTTTTTGGTATACGATACTTCTAATTTAAAATCTAGGAAAAATAACTATTAAGTTTAGAAGCTGAAAAAGAATTATTTTTTTCAAATATTTTCAGAAGTCAAAAGTTTTTAAACAAAGAAGGCCTGGTTGGTAGGACGTTGGGCTCGTGTTCGTGTGAGCGTGAGTTCGAATCCTGCCGAAGAATCCCCGTGTATTCAATAGTGACTGGTGCACGTTAAAACTTTTCAGGGTCACAATGTCCTCAAGGTTTCCATAACAAATCAATGCCTCTGATGGTATTGAATTAGATATTTATTGTTCTCAGCTTCATGTCAAAATTACGATTTGTGGATGAATTAATGGGTCCTGCCAGTAAAACGGGCTGTGATGTGTGTGACTAAAGTCGTATTCTTGGCCATAGATGGCGCCACTGAAAAACAAGAAACGCATCCTACGCCTAAAAAATTCGCTTGGGTTCCCATAGCAGGCTTGCTGATATTGGCAAGTGGCATTAGTGACAGCAACAAACTTCTTGGGGAATTAGGGTGCATCATCAGAATTAAAAAGGCATTCGAACCCATGCGCTGAAAGGTCGTCGTACGCCGCTAGGAGTGCTTATCTATTATGATCTGACAACAACAGCAGCAACAAACCCAGAAGAAAAACATGTAAGAATAAATTGAATAAAACGTGATTTTTGTTTTATGATAAATTACCTCGCACATTAGAATTTAATCTTAAAACTAGTTTACTACATTAAAATCAAAGGAAAAAAAAACAGTTTCATAACTAATAAATTCTAGACTAATTTTGATAAAACCATACTTTTAAAAGATTTAGAAAACTGAAAAAATAATAGATTGCAAAGTATTTTACCGTGGAATCTCTCGATATTGGAATTTACTGCTCGTTCGGAGGTACAAATCGGAATTAAAATAACATTGCGTTTATGGAATGAGGGTTTGGTACATGTGGAACTTGGTCCGATTTGCTGCCCCTTTACAAAATTCAAACTTTAAAAAACGGACCTTTCACGAAATTTTAATTTTAAAAAATGGCCCTTTTACGAAATTTTCAAAAGCGGCCCCTTTGCCAAAATAAGTTATATATTTTATTTGAATTTTATTTTAAAATTAGATTTCGACAGCAAATGTCAAAGCTATATAAATACACAATTAATTTAAATATGATCAGTTTTGCATCGTTTTGGAAAATAGATTTCGGTTTAAAATCTAGAATAAAAAATTTTCGCATAAAAATTCGTAAATAAAGAGAGCAAAAAATGTCGTTATATTTATATTTTGATTTGTTTTAATTTAGTTAAAAAATTATTAGGATTTTCTTTTTCTTTTTTTTTTAAATTTTTTTTTCGAATTTAAATTTCTATTGACAAATACTAATATTTTATTTTTTTTAAAACAAATGATTTAATATAAATTATGGAGTAAATAAATGCAATTTAATTTTAGTTTTATATCGTTTAAGTCAGTGTTTCCCAAACTTATGACTTTAGTGTACCCTTTCTAAATTNAAAAAAAAATAAATCAATGCATGTTTTACTATAAAAAAATTGCACAAAAGTTAAAAATCACAACTGGCTGTTGACACCACTAATTATTAACTGTTAACTCTGCGAAAAATAGCTAATAGAAAAATACGTAATCGTAAATTTTCATGGCTAGCTTTGTTTTTAAATAAAAGTTTTTGAAACTTTCGTTTGTTGCAAGATATTTCACAAAAGAACGCGTACCCCAGCTAAACTGTTCTCGTACCCCCTGGGGATACGCGTACCACACTTTGGGAAACACTGGTTTAAGTCAATATCTTTCACATGAATATTGTAATTGAGCAAACTATAACTTATATAATATTTTACTATAATCGTAAATTTCGGAGCTTTTCTAACAGAAAAAAAGGTCATATCCGAATTTATACGTTTTTTCTTTCTTTCAATAAAATTAAATTTAATTTCATTCAAAATTCAAAGCTAACACCTCAGACAAGTTTGTAACCACAGACATCGTCCCTGTCCCTATTGCGTCATACAAACAAGTTTACCCCTTTCTTCACAGAGTGGGTGGGAACCGTCAGGGTTAGGGGAATTTCAAATTCACTGCAACGTGCGTTTACTGGTTTACTATTCACGCTCGTTCTGTGTTTTTATCTTTCATAAATGGCTTCTAAAAAGAAACAGTTGACGTTAAAAGAAAGATATAAAGCTTTATGGAAAGCTGAAGGAGAATATTTTCGATTTTGGTCATTCTTAGAACGATTTAAAGCTGGCAAAAGTGAAGTAAGTACATTTATTTACGCTTTATCTAAACCACGTGGTCCCTTCTGCTAAAATGTATACATGTGTACGTTGCTGCGTATCTCGGAGAACAAGAACATGCATTCTATTGGCTGCAGGCGTAGAATGATTTGTAACCCTAAAAGTATTAGTACGTTTTATTTTAATAATAATGAACGCATTTTTTATAAGCAAACGATTCTATAAATAATACGTTTTTTTTTAATGATAAGTGTATTTTTTGAAACAAGACAATGGAATATTTTTCAGACAACAAATTTTTTAACAACAGTGACTCATTAGTTGTGCGCGATTTAAAAGAAAATATTTACGTATTTTTTATTAACGAAATTTTTTTATTACGTTTTTCTATACATTAAAATCTAGTAGATTTGCTTGAAATAGAAATGTTGCTCTAGCTTATTGTTTTACACTTTAGCAAATTGATTTTAATATTCTAAGTTTGTAGAATAGTTAACTTCAGACTTTATACTTACATAAAAAAAAAGTAAATTTTTACATAATATGCACTTGACACTATATTTTTGCTTTTAAACATCCTGACCTAAACTTTACTATACAGTTTGCATGTATTTTAGTTGAATTGTTATGCAACTACGTAAAAAAATGTGTAAAACTGTTTTTAATAATGTATCGCAATCAGGTTTACTATTGAAATGTATTATATAAGTGTGTGTGTTTTTTGTGCCAAATATATAATTTATTAAAAGATATATTACAGTGGTTTTTGATATATGTGAATGAATAAATGGAACAAAAGGACATAAAAAGCGAATCAATATATGAGTGATTCCATTCATAGGCGAGTCAGTTTAGTTTTATCGACCTCGACAGCCACAATTTTTAAAAAAAAATTTTTAAAAAAAGGTTTATTACAATAAAAATACACCATAAAGTAAACTTAAGTTTAAAGCAGTTTGATTTATAATTCTTGATTACCGAGCTTAGCTTTACGGGAATCGAATTTGTATAGTAACTGATTACTTTATAATAATTACTGACTTATATTAAGGTTTTATATTTCCACAAGGTAATTAGTTGGTTAGTTATTAGTTTGCTTATATATGTCACTTCAATTGAATTCAATAAGTTTATGAAGTAGGTCGCTTTTTCACTTTGAATAATTCGAAAAATCAATAGTTTGTTTTGAATTGTTTCCATGAAGTATCTTGAAAGCAGGGTCGTTTTTAATTACCGGAACTTTTCCAGATTTTTTTTCTTTTTCAGCCAAAATTACATTCAATTTTCAAAATGGTGAGCATTTTTTTTTCTTCTTCTTTTAACTTTCTTGGCGAAAAACTAAAACGAGGCCAAATTTGACAGTTTGATTGCTGTTGATTTCTACCTTTTTTTTTCTTCTTGTAGACACAGCAAATTTCACCTGCGATGTATATGGTAAACAAAATGGCAACTTTTTAGGTCAACTTTGCCTCTTTTCTTTTTTCTTTTGGAAAGTTTACGGGCTTTCCTATATTTTCACTTTTGTGTGTTTACGATTGCTTGTAAAAATGTTTCGTATTGTTAGAGATCTAGAAATTCTTTTAGGTCGTAAATATGTACGACGGAATACTTTCATATGTTAGTATCTAAAAATTAGATGATTTGGCACGAAATCCGATGGAGTTTTATGTCGCCTTTGTTTTGAAACAGGATCTGCCTTCATATATACATGTGAATTTTTGATTTCGTGGAGCTATGATATTGAAGCAGCAGATTTGAGAATAAAAATATGAAGATTTATATTAAATATTTATCGATTAGGTATTTTATTATCTTGTGATCGTGTTTCTAAAATAAAAATGTGTCTTTATTGATTTAGAAATTTAAGTTAAATATAGATCAAGAAGAAATAGACCGATTATTTATTTGATAGTATTATTTCTTTTTTCAGTATTATTTTAAAAGCCGTAATACTTATTTGATTGTTTGAATACAATTTCCACTTCAAATTTTCGTCCTACGTACGCACGATCGTAATGTTGACTACAGTATATGTAGTCATTTCCTTAGTTACAGTGTGGGGGAAAGTAGACGTCGAAAATGCCAACCTTCATCTATCAAAAAATACCTCAAGATTAAATCAAGTTAGCATGTTTTATATGCTAGTGAATTGATGTTTAATAATTGTAGTGGTAGTTACGTCACAATACTCCCCCATCAGAGTTTTAAGAGTCAGGGATAGATTTTGATGAACGATGACCGTATTTGCGAAGGACTAGGACAGCTGTATTAAGTTCACCGGATTTTGAGCACTTGTGGTGAGAGCTGTATTAAGTTCACGGTTGTGTGGTTGAAACACGAAAACCTTCCACAGTTAGCCTGGCGGCAAAGGGACTCATGATCCATCTATCACTGAGGATATTTTATGCCAGCACTGTGGTCGGTGCAAGTCGGATGCAGAATTCGTATCGACCAGCCATCGATGGGATACGAACCCGGTTCATCTTATTGGGAGGCGCACGCTCTACGCCCTGAGCCACCACGGCTCATATAGATTTAGATTAATTTTATTTTTTAACCGTCGTTGAACAGCTGACCCAATTCTGGGTTTACGACTACTAATGTTTAACTCCATAACCTTGTAATTTTGAACCCAATCCAGAAGACAAGGAAACTCCTGGACCAGGTTTTGAGAGAAATTTGCCTATGTGGATGACTTTTTGGTAGATCTAATCCGCATTTGCGTTGCAAGGAGAGGAAAACCATGAAAACCTCCCACTGTTAGCCTGACGGCAAGGGGACTCTACCTCATGATCCGTCTACCACTGAGGATATTTTACATCAGCACTGTAGTCGGTGTAAGCCGGATGCAGTATTCGTATCGACCAGCCATCGCTGGGATTCGAACCCGGTTCACCTCATTGGAAGTCGAACGTTCTATCCCCTGATCCATCACGGCATTTAGATTTATTTAGATATTGCATGAAATAATTTGTTATGATTATCTAAACAAATATCGACTTAACTGTTATTTTTTTCTTTTATTAGGAAGCTCCGCCCCTGTTCGCTCTGCTTGCTAACTTCCGTTTTTTTTTCTTTTCTTTTTTAAGCATCTATATTTTCTACAAAAACACAGAATATTTAGTTTTAAAATTATACACTCATTATAGCTTTAAGTAAGAACATTTTGTTACCAAGTTATTCGTAACGAAATGGGCAATTACCTGGAAAATAAATCATCCGAACGTGAAAAAAAAAATAAGTTCAACATAAAGAACACAGAATGTGTGACTCAGTAAGATGAAATAAATGAGAATTATTTCATCTTACTGATTTTTTATTATTCATTGATGAATTCAAACAGAAAACGGTTCTTCTCGCTTTTTATTATTTTTATTTTTAAAAATAAAAATAAAAATTATACATTTTTTTTACTTTTAAAAATTTTACTATAACTGTTTAGATTTACTCTCTCTCTTTCTCTTTTTTTTTTGCTTTATTTTGATTGATACCTACTCCAGCGCTAGTTTATATTATAAAGGTCTGAGAAGAAAATAAATTTTCTGCAGCAATGGCTAAGTAGTCAATATTTAAAGCAAAACATTTGGAAAAAAAAATCAGAGTCGCGATGGCTCAGGAGCGTTCGCCTTTCAATGAGGCGAACCGGGTTCGAATCCAAGTCGATACGAATTCCGCATCCGGCTTGCATCGACCACATTGCTGACGTGAAATATCCTCAGTGGTAGACGGATCATGGGTTAGAGTCCCCTTACTGTCAGACTAACCGTGGGAGGTTCTCGTGGTCTTCCTCTCCATCTAACGCAAATGCGGGTTAGCTCCATCTAAAAGTCCTCTACGAAGGCAAATTTCTCCCAATACTCGATCCAGGAGTTCCCTTGTCTTCTGAATTGGGCTCAAAATTACAAGGCTATGGAGTTGAACATTAGTAGTTGTAAACCCATAAAATTGGATCGGCTGTTCAACTACTGCTTAAAAAAAAAAAAGAAAAGAAAAGAAAGAATTTAAATTTGCATTAGCTTACGAAATTTTTTTTTTGTCTGAGATAGTTCTGGAACTGAATATAGATGGCAGCACAAGTCACGTGATCAGTGAATGTTTGGTTTTATGTGTCATGTAATTTAGTTCTCTGTGTGTTAATGTCGCATTAAAGTTATAAAAACCGGCATGGTAATTCATGAGAGATTGTTTCCCCGAGAAGGAATCCTTTTACATGTTTTACATTCATTCAAACCAAATCAGAATTTCGAAACAAAATTTGCGTAACGTTTACAAATAAAGTGCCTCTATCAGCACATCAAATTTTAACCCCATAAGTTGTCTGTCTTTCAGCGAACTATAGATGGTACTATTTTCCCCCTCAAAATCTAACGGTTATTTATTCTCTCACAAATTACCAAATCTTAAATCTTTTAATTTCTTCGCACTCCCTGTACTTTTTTCTACATACCTACGTAATTTCAAGCTTCTAAGTCATAGATTTTGCTCCGCAAAGCAAAATGCAACGTAAAGGGGAAAAAAAGTGATAAAAATGAGGAAAAAAGCACTTAAAATTGCAATAATTTTGGAACAAGTTAGAATTTTAAAGAAACTCTGTGTTAAGTTCAGAATGAAATGTGGTCCAAAATTCAACCCTGCTATGTATCATGCCAAGTTTCAACACTGCAGTTGAATTCCAACGGCTTGTAGAGCGAACTGTATAGTATTTTTTCCAACAAGTTTAACAAATAGTAATTCTGTAATTAATTATCGAATGTTTTTTTTTATTCTATTGTATTCCTTGGACATTTTTCTACTCTCCTTTTTTATATTTTTATAACTGTCGTTGAACAGTCAACTCAATTTTTTGGTTTTACGACTACTAATGTTCAACTCCGTAGCCTTGTCATTTTGAACCCAAACAAGAAGACAAGGGAACTGCTAGATCAAGTATTGGGAGAAATTTGCCTTCGTGGAGGACTTTTTGATGGAACTAACTCGCATTTGCGTTATATGGTGAGGAAGACCACGAGAACCTCACAAGGTTAGCCTGACGGCAAGGGGACTCTAACCCATAATCCGTCTACCACTGAGGATATTTCACGGCAGCACTGTGGTCGGTGCAAGCCGTATGCGGAATTCGTATCGACTGGGATTCGAACCCGGTTCGCCTCATTGGAAGGCGAGTGCTCTATCCCCAGAGCCATCACGGCTCTCGAATGAATATATTGAAGATAACAAATATCAGAGTTGTATTATAATGTCCACTAACCAAATACCCAACGGCGATGGAACCAACGGAATGAGGCGACCCAACTCGGGTCGCCTCATTCTCAACACACCTTTTTTTTTATATCCGTCGTTGAACAGCCGACCCAATTTTGGGTTTACGACTACTAATGTTCAACTCCGTAGCCTTGTAATTTTGTACCAATCCAGAAAACAAGGAAGCTCCTGGATCAGTACCCCCAGAGGTATTGATTTGTTATGGGAACATGGGGGACTTTACGACTTGACAGATTTTAACATGCATCAGTCACCATTTACTACACGGGAAGTCTTCGGCCGGCAGGGATCGAACCCACGAACTTTTGGACATGGGCCCAGTATGGGACACACTTTTGTAGTTTCAAGTTTCTAAGGTTTATAATTTTTGCGCAACGAAACGAAGCGTAGCGTTCAGTTGAACACCAAAAACGTCGGCGACGGCCCTTACCATTTTTTTAATATAGAAATATAAAATAGAGACTGTGCAATTATTTCTTGGTATTACCTGAAAAGGATTATGCATGACATTATATCTCACGGGGTCTTTCTTATTTTTAGGGTCCTAATGGCTTTGAAGAGCTTAGAAAATCAATCAAAGAAGGACAAGATTTTACTAAAGACATGGCAGCAATTCTTCATGAAAGGTAAGAGTCTATACAATTTCCTTACACTGCCAGAAACTTTGCAGCGTATTGAACAATAGAACCGTTGCTGCAGCTTTAACGAGAAGCCTGGGTGAACCGTACGATCGTGTAGTAAATGAATCTTTGTTATATTAGCTTACAAGACACTATGGTTTCACTTAAACTGAAACGCCGTTGTAAAATTCAATACTTCAATAAAGTTGAAGAAAATTTTCGCGATGTTATGGTTCAACATAGAATTTATTTTTCGGAAAGTGAATAAATTCATAATGAACAACACATGTACACATATGGTATCCAAACGTTCATGTTTTGTGTATTATGAATTATATATGATGTTTATTCCTTTGCCGATCGGGAAGACAGCGTTAAAGACTTTTAATTCGTCCATAAGCCCCTCGGATGTGTAAATGTGCGCTGTCCTTTTCTTTTTTTTGTCTTTTTTTTCTGTTTGTGGAAAAGCCAGTGAGCCATTTAGGGAAATAACGGTGCCTTACGAAACTACACTATTAAGTTACACTAAGTTGTGAAACAACACTGTTAGAAATTTTAAAACGTGTCGAATCAGTATCATCTAAATTTAGCTGCAACTTTAATCTGGTAAGTTTAACCATGATATCGCGCTTCTTGCTTTTGGTTAGTGATGGTTCAAGCAGAATGGAAACATGGCTAAATCTACACCTTCGTAAGGTTAAAGCAAATTTTCACTCTATATTATGATATAAGATATCGACATCATGGTTCAACGTTGATCCCATTTTTATTATGATTCATATAATGAGAAGAATGGGTTCAACGTTGAACCCATTTTCATTATGATACATATAATGCGAACAATGGGTTCAGCGTTGATCCCTTTTTTATTATGATACATGTAATGAGAAGAATGGGTTCAGCGTTGATCCCTTTTTTATTATGATACATGTAAAGAGAAGAATGGGTTCAACGTTGAACCCATTTTTCTAATGATATATATATATATATATATATAATGAGAAGAATAGGTTTGTAGTGTTTCTACCACTACAAAATTCCAATTCCAATTCACTAGTATATAAGACATGTTAACTCGATTCTATGTCGGAGTACCTTTTCATAGATGAAGGTTGACATTGTCGATATCTACTCTCTCCACTTTTCCAATGTAGGGGTGGTAGCTATCGACAATGTCAACCTTCATCTATGGAAAGGTACATCGAAGTTAATTGGAAGAATCCCTACATAAAGTTCACAGAATTCGAAAGCAAGTTGAAAACTTAAAAGAGCTTGAACTTGTATCCCAGAAAGCTTTAAAGAGACCAAACTTGAAAACGAGTTGAGCATCAGCATTGGGCTGATGCACAACTTGTTTTCCAGTTAATTTAATCCTTGTTCGACATTCTTGAACCCTTAAAGTGTCCTCACTTAGATAATGATAATCTTGTAATCTGGACTCAAGTATGTTTTACCGTGTAGTCATCTTTAACGTTTTTTTACCCACCAACCAATTACACTCTGTAAACTGTTTCAGTTCTGTTGGATAATAAATCAATATTTTCCATAAATATTCGTATAACTTTAAATCTTAAAATTTTTCGCGGTCGCTCCGCTGATTTGTCCTCAAATCACTTAAATAAATAGAATCACCTTAGCCTTACACAAGGGCGTGAGACAGATGTCGATATTTTTTATTTATTTATTCATTTTTTTATTTTATTTATCCTGTATCAAATACCTGCTTACACGACACGATCATCCAGTCAATTACCCTTTCATCTTACTTTATTCTTGATTAAAAACTAAAAGTAAATGATAATGATTACAATTAGATATAAACACGCTTAAGTGCCATAAAAATGCCTACGTTGATAACATCTGTCTGTATAATCATAAAAGTACCATTCATCACGTAAAAAGTAATTGTTTTTGAAGCACTCCATTGCCTTTATCCCACTCGTAAACCTCCACACCCATTCTCGAAGTTTTCATTTAAGATAAGAACTTCGTATCGAAGCTTAGTGACAACAAGCGCGAGCATCGGGTGACACCGAATTACCTCGCACGTTTCTCTTGTAACCTTCAAACACTTTCACAGGAGTATTGTGAAAGACACAAGTGGCAACGGTCTTCAAAACAAAAGAAAATTGACGATAATTTTCACTGGTGGGCAGTGAGGGTGGTGTGCTGCGTAACACAAAAGAAAGATTTGTATCGTCTCGTAAACATCCCTTAAAATTCTTTTATGCAAGTGACTAATAATTCGTATTTGATTTTGCCATTTTGCGATAAGAATGTATCTAAAATTTCTGAGGAACGAGAACAAAAAGCAGCCTCTTTGTCCCCATGGTCATTTTGATAATTTGATAAGCGAGAGGTTTTGATGTTGATTCTTTGGTAATTTACTTTACGCAATCGCGAAATAATCTGCATGCATGCCTTGCTATTTTATTAACGGCATCATGATTGTGACATACTGTTATTATTTTAATCTGATAATTTAGTACTGGGTTCCCCAAAGTCATATTGGCATAAAGGCTGTGCATCTTTTCTATCATGACATTTAACTCTCTTTGATTTCGACGATGTTTGAGGCATTTCTATGTCTAAAATATACAGATGTATACTAATATATAAATATTAGACTTTTTTTCTATAACATAGTCTATTTGAGGGTGTAAAGGAGCTTGTATCATTTTTCATGATGTTTTAATATAATAGCGATAAGAAGTCACCTCATTGATAATGGCCATGGCAAACATAGCTAATTAATTGTTTATATTTCTTTTCAAATTTTATTTTGTTTATTGATATTGCATAATAAACTAATGGCATCATCATACATCGTTTCTGAAAATGCTTAGCATCGAACAATTATAAATAGATAAACCATTTAGCCATTTTAAGTCAATTTTAAGTTGTACGTAATGCTGAAGAAGTATTAACTTATTCCTCTTATTATATACTTCTATATTTTAACACTTTCGGTATAATCGATATGGTAATTTTCAAATTTACAATATTATTGTTTTACGGATATATGTTTGAACGTTTCGGTTAGTGTATTTTTGAAAGAATATATGTATGAAAGTTCTAAGGGAAGCATAACTATATTTTGTTTGTGCAAAATTCTATTTAGATCAGATAACTTTTACAGTTTACGAAGAAATTAGCATTGACAGTAATCTTACTATCCTTTCATTATTTAATCTGTTAATGTTAAGATTTGAAATTTATCGAGTTTTTGTGAATGAATATTCATCATTTGTTTAATTATTCACAAATGAAAATTGGAAAATCTGTTACAAATACACTCGTACGTATTAATACGTACGTGTTCAATAATGCGTATATATTTTATTTCGTTTTGAAAAAAATGGCATTTTTATATGATTTACTTATTTGTGTGTCCTGACTAAGAAAAATCTATCAAGGTTGACAAAAGCGAGGAAAATAATGAAATGAGGAAAGTATTCAACGACAATATCATAAAATATCAAAAACAATATCAAATAAAAATAAATTTTATTTTTACTCACTTTTTCTAATTTTATTTATTTATTTTACATGAGGATATTTTATTCTTAAAAGTTCTGACAACTACTCCATATAGTTTAAAATTCTACATCCATATTCTACCAAATATTAATTTAAGATGATGGCTTCGGCTTTTTATGCCTTTGGTGTAATTGCTCATTAAAATTATTCTTATTCACTGTAACTGCTCTAACCTGTATTAAAATATAAACTTTCTTACATAAATTATTTTTTATTTACTCTAATACAAATTCCATTTATCCTAACTGTATTCTAATTTGTTCAAAACTAAAATTTTTTCTACAGTTCTGGTTCAAAATCAGCATTTTTTCGCAAAAGCGTATTGGACTTGCCTCAAATAATTTCAGAGCTTATAGCAACAGATTTTAAGTGTCATTTTTGAGTCAGTGTCATTTTGTCATCAACACTTCTCAGGGAAAGATCTTTCTTTTTTCTTAATTCTTAAAGTGCCAGTGTACGAGAAAATTTGGAGTAGATGAAGGTACCAATTCTTCCCATTTGACAATATACAATCGAAAAATAACCTTAACACCTGTATTTTGGCAGTTAATTTAAACTCTAATAGGCTTAAAATTACGGCTCCAACTGTTTAAATGAGTATGAGTATATATTTTTTAAAAAGGCGTATTCTTTGTTGCCCTCTGCCAACGAGTTAATTTTGAAGCTAGCTGGTGTGTCACTAATTAGAATCTTCATCACCTCAGCTTTGTTACAAAAATTGGTTCTGTAGTAACTATGTTGTGCATGTGCACATGACCGTGTGCTGTGCTACGTGAAAATGCTAAATCCCCTAAAGCAGGAAGTGCACAAATATGTGACGTAAGCCACAGAACAGAGCACAACTATTCATGTCCACGTCCTTGCATAACAATTTATGTCCAGGTTGCGATGATAATTTTATATGCTGTTAATAATGTTTTCCCCCATTATGTAGACATTTATGCATAGTTAGATATTTTTCGTTGATTTAACTTGTTTCTTTTCCTTGTTTTGGTTTTGTTATTTTGAAATTATAGTTTGAAAAATAAAATTATTCATCGTTTAAAAAACTTACTTTTATTTTTTCTTTTAACTCCGTTCTTTTGAAGTCATAGTTTGAAAATTAAAATTATTAATTATTTAAAAAAAATTTTTTTTTTTTTTGGTTCCGTTCTTTTGCAATTATAGTTGGCAAAATAAAATTATTCATCGTTTAAAATGCTTACTTTCCTTTTTTCTTGTGGTTCTATTCTTTTAAAATTATAGTTTTCAAAATAAAACTTTTCATCATTTAAAAAACTTACATTCTTTTATTCTTTTGGTTCCGTTCTTTTGAAATTATAGTTTGCAAAAGAAAATTATTCATCGTTAAAAAATCTTACTTTCCTTTCTTCTTTTGGTTCCATTCATTTGAAATTATAGTTAGCAAAATTAAATTATTTATCTTTTAAAAAGCTTACTTTTCCTTTTTCTTTTGGTTGTATTAT